CTGTCGCATTAATGGCCCTTCGCTCATTTTCAACTTCTATTCAATTTCCATACTGCCGTACTCTAACGGAACTATCCACCTACCCTCTTCTAAAGATCATTCTCTAGCTAATAAATCATCACACTAAAGCTTCATGTTAGCATTTCCAACCAACTCTGACTAGAGTGATATTAATTTTCCATTGTTTGCCCTAACCCTAACAACATGTGGACTAGATATAAGCTTCCCGTCTTCGGCAAAGTTGTTCAGATAAATAAGACCTATTATATGGTAAAGAGTTTAGTTCATCAATCACCAGGCAGTGCTAGTGTAACATATGTCATAACTTGACATATCGACTAGATAGAAGGTTCCGACTTCGGTAAAGTTGTTCATATGGACAGGACCTATCCTAAAGTAAAGAATTTAGTTCATAATTCACTCATCAGATGGTGCTAGTGTGACATTAAGTTTTAATTGTTTGCCCTAACTTAGCATTTTGACTAGATAGAAGGTTCCCGTCTTCAGTAAAGTTCTTCAGATTAACAAGATCTATTTTATAGAGTTGAGAGTTGACCTCAGAATTAACTCACCAGGTGGTCTAGTGGGACAATATCTATTCATTGTTTGCCATAACTTAGCATATTGACTAGCTAGAATATTTCCGTCATCAGCAAAGTTGTTCAGATGGACATAGAAGGGCAAAGTTTTTGAGATGGACAAAACCTATTTTGTGGTAAATAACCCACGTCACCAGCTGGTGCTCATGTAACATTACTTTTGAATTGAGTAATTCTCTGTCAAATGAGAAAATGGCTTGGAGCGGGCTCCTCCGATTTTGATGAAATTCAGTATGGAAGATTATGATTTTCCTACAGATCACGAGGCCAGTTTGACTCAATACTAATTTTTTTCACTTGACAGCTTGCCTAGATATAAAGTTTCTATTTTCGGCAAAGTTTTTAAGATGAACTAAAACAATTATATGGTAATCATCATAGTTTAGAATTCACTCCTTAGAAGCTTACCTTTGTTTATATTGGTCAGAAAATAATAATCCATCCGAACTCTGTTCAGAAGTTTCCTGTCGTCCACATTTAGAAAGAAATATGCAATTCAATTTAAGCTTTCATTTATTTAAAAAAAATTCTCAAAAATAAGATACGGTTCATATCAGTCACTTTTGTTCATCAATAGTCTAGGATAGGTCCATTGATTGTCCATCTGACCAACTTTACCGAAGACGGAAACCTCCTATCTAGTCCATATATTAATTTAGGGCAAACAATTCAAAATTAATGTCACACTAGCGCTGCCTGGTGAGTTAATTATGAACTAAACTCTTTACCTTAGGATAAGTCTTGTCCATCTGAATAACTTTACTGAAAACGGAATCCTGCTATCTAGTCAAGATGTTAAGTTAGGGCAAACAAATCCAAATGATTATCACACTAGCGCCGCCTGGGAGTGAGTTCTGATATAAACTCTTTACCTTAGGATAGGTCTTGTCCATCTGAACAACTTTGCCGAAAATGGGAACCATCCATATGAGCAGAATCTGTAGAGAGCGTTATATAATCCCCCTTATTCTGCGAATCACGTGACTCTCTCTCACCGGTGAGGTGACAATTGTCACCTCGTGTGAGGTGACTCTCCATGCAAATCAAATGGAGAGTCACCTCAAACGAGGTGACTATTGTCACCTCACCGGTGAGAGAGAGTCACGTGACTCGCAGAATAGGGGGGAATGTGTATTTAAAATGGCGCAATTTGATGAAGGGAAACCAGATGAACATCTGAAGAAATTACTGACGGAAATAGTTAGAAGTAAAAATTCATCCGGAGGATGGATCTATTTAGTTTAGCCTTCCAACTCAATCGTGTTAGCTTTACGGAGCCGATAATTAATTGCTCTTCGTTTGTAACAAAATTCTATGTCTAGTAGGAGTTGGGCCGAATACTCGTGGCTTACCCGTGGTTAGAGGGGTACATTGTCGAAGGAAGGATTGTCAGGGGAGGAGTTTCGGGGTGGGGCTTCGTTGTCTCATCAAAGCGTTGTCGCCAGTATGAACGGTAGTGCGGTTCTAAATTCGTCTGGAGTCTAATCCGGAGGAAGTTGGAAGAAGATTTCGGATGAAAGGAGAAACTTCTGGGCAATACCACAAGGAACTTCTTAGAAAGGAAAAGCAAAAACCTCTTGAAAAGTAGGAAGAAAATTTCAGGAAAAGGAACATTCTGATTAAACTATCTGGTTACTGAGTATAATTACTTCCTGATTCCCAAGTAGTTCAAAAGGTGGAAATGGAAATGGAAACACTACGCAGAATTCAATACCCTCGAAATTGCCATGTAAATCTCAATCAACAATCTCTCTTCTCAGATGTTATTTAAAATATTCCTTAGAAATTGGCTCTTCCAATCAACATGGAATTTCCCCGGAACTATTACACAATTGACTTGAAATTCTAATAAAAGTTGTCCATAGTTCCTCCCAAAACTCCCTTGGTATTTATCGTTGGAATACCTTCTTTTTATATCTAGAATTCATTCTAAACTCTCCTCAACGTTCTCTTCATAGTTCATCAAAATCTCCCTAATAAAGATTGTAAAAAAGACTCCTGTTCAAGGATCCTCAATTTTTTTCAAGATCCAGAATCTTATTCTTCCGAACAGAGAACATAGTACACACTTAATCTGGCTCGGTAAAATCTCCAACAGCCGATTACCTCGGCATTTATTTTTGCTGATATATCTGCAAAATATATGTTTGTTAGCTGATATCGCAGCAAAATGATATTTGTTAGCTGAGTCTCGGCAATTGTTTTACTGAACCTCAGCAAACTAAATTGCAGAACTACTCGGCTGTTGGAATCTCGGCGAAAAAAATTAAGTGTGTATATTTGTTCCCGATTTGTCATCCAAATTCACGGTCTTTCCCCGGTGATTTCCAATTCCCGGCGTTTGTCCTGTTGATGATGATGATGATAGTGATCTACACTCATTGTTGCACGGAAACTAGTCCGATAGCTGTGGGCCCTCCTATCTATTGAACTTGATCAAGCTTTATAACCTCTGATTGACCTCCGCAAATCGCTGTATGAAGGGCCAAAAATGAATGGATGGATTGATCAGAAATTCGCCTATTCATCTCCTTGGGACAGTTAAGAATCTCCTTCTAACAACTTGATCAGTCAACTGGTCAGAAAACGAGCCATCCAACAGGAAGATGCAACAGTGAATGGGAAGAAGAGCCCGCCCTTTATCCACGAAATGTTAACAACAGGGAGTTGACATTTTCACTCTCCCCATCCAAATCGCTTCAATTGGGTGCCCTATCTGTTAAGGTAGTCTTCATTTTCAGAGCGTAGAAGTAATGATTTTTATCAGCACTGTTCACAGGGGTTCTAGAAATTTAAGCGGCTTATATTTTTTTTGCAAAACAAAGAGGGTGGTAAACGCACCGTTTTCGACAAAAAGTTTACCCAATCGTGTATCGAAAAACAGTTGCAACCCCTATGTCGGTACCTAGGGTTAACACATGAAGGTTGCAATTTTCCTACTTAGAACAACAGCCTTGCAGCAAGCGAGCGTGCGAGGTTACAACGGAATCCAGTTTCCTCATCGGACCACCTTTTCCTTGGAGTTGGTTGGATTGTTTACAATTAGGTAACATTAGCAACATTCTAGTAAACACGACAAAGCCATCGAATATGGGGAAAAATACCGCTCACACGTGCGAGATTCCACGCGATCCTTTCGCTGACCCAGAAGTTTGTTTTGGTACGCCTCGTGGTTGGTAGCATTACTCCTTCGCTCGTAGTTGCATGGTGAAAACTCGTTCAAGCGGAAGCATACATGTTGTATTTGTTGTACCTCTATTCGATTGAAGTTATGTAGTAATTATACGCTGCTCAGTTGAAGAGCGAAGGTCGCAATAAAAGAAAATGGGTCTATCGACCACCGACGTGAGTGAGTGACATTTGAAATTAACGATAGAAGAGCGGTTCGAGATGATATGAACAAACCGTTTTATGGTTATCAACAAACCTAGTTGTCTACTCACTTTATTAGGTTGGACTTTGTACGTCTGAAGTGTAGTTGACGTGACTTTGGAGTGATTCCATCGAGTGCAGACGATTACTCCGACTTTTTTTTATATTTCTTGGTCATGCATCCGGAGCATTGCATCATGCTGAAAACGAGTAATCTTTAACCATTGAGAAAACTGGAATTTCCCACACTGTTGTTTATTTTCGAAGCAACATTTTTCTTAGCCTGAATACAGTATCTCCCCGTTAATCCGGCTCTCGGTAATTCGACATCACGGTCACTTCTGGAACCCGGCTAATCAGGCCACACATTTGTCGTATTAGCAGGGGGATACTACACGACGATTTTGGTGGGGAAAAAGGTTAAACAACATAAGTGAGCCGAGATCGATACAAAACAAAAACATCAGGAAAACCCAACCGCTCATTTGTTTTTCATTTACGTTTGGTTAATGTTTAAAGAATAGCCACACTCATGTTTAGTCTTACTTGGAACCGCATGCTGTTAGGTAGCATATTTGAATGGTTGTCTTCTTCAGAAGTTATTGCCTGCAATTTCATCAAGTGAGCTGGGTGCGAGTTCAATGATTGAATATACCCAAACAGGTCGGCTACGCTGCGCACTTTGGACCCGACGACTGGACTTTGGATGAACTGGCTCTCTCCAACAAGTAGTGATAATCTGATACCTGTGCTGATGTAGTGTGTACAAGCAAACATTCGTCGACGATTCGCATATATGTATAAACATAGCATAGTTGTTGTTGATGCATTTCGTTCGCCTATAGACGTCGGTATTTTCCATCGGTATCCGAGCGCACAGTGCGAGTGCACAAATTGGAAGAAAACAGAGAAAAACAAACCAGAGAACCACCAACCAACTCGCACATTGTTATTGTTTTATTTTCTCTCTTGTTGATCAATCACAGTTGATTAGATTGTATTAATCGTTTATTTTGTGCGTTGCCTTAGGCGTCCTACCGCAGTGTTTTATCGTGTGTGAGTGCGAAGTACTTGAATTGGCAAAAGCTGTCGAATAAAAGTGTTAAGATTTGCTATAACTGGCATTTGAATTGAGTCCACGAGGCTAGCCGAGATCGCTACTTAGAGCGAATTTAGGATTGTTGCAGAGGTATCTAAAAAGGCTTTAAGGTATTTCACTATAAGATAATTATCATACTATTTACCGCTGACAAGTCGACATGGTTCATTGGGTACTATTAAGTTGATGGGGTATACTAACCGTAGACTATAAGCATCACACACTTATCTGATGGGGTCAAGGAGCAAGTTACTCGTGTAATTATCTATAATTACTTAGATCAATCTCCTATCATCAACATCTCTTATAGGCTTTATTCCATCAACTGTTTATCATTTTCATAACTGGCATCAAGATACCATATTTATCACGTTCATCATCACTAAGCGATGGGTTTAATTTGTTGTTGATTTTGTGAATCAATTGTATTCTATCATGTCTCAGTAGGGATGCGGTGAGGTCATTGTTTTTCTTATTTATATTATCAATCTGAGACCTTTTCCCCGTAATTTGTTAAAATATATTGCAGGTATCAAAGAGCGTCAAAAGTTCTGATCTAAGAAATGATTATGACTTCAACTGAATGTTGATCTAGTAATAACCCGATTTTATTAGTCCCTGTGCGCACCAATTTTCTATCTTTCAATAATTTCAAATAACCGTAATTCCAAATGTTTGCAATTAATCTTCAAGATGGATTTTTACTGAGTATGTTCATTTTGTTATAAATATCGATGTGATTCTATCACTATCAATATGAAGAAACTATCGTATTAAGCAGTACAATATGTCATAAAATGAGGGTTGTTAATGACGTTTGCAAAGCGAATTCCCTTTGAAGACGTTAACGCAGACGTTAGCGGCGTTACCGTCATTTACAACCCTGCATAAAAAAGGCGTTTCCTTGAGCGAGAACTTGCCTAAACGTTTAACATATAAATGGCCCGGAAGTATCGCTCGTGCATGATTGAATAGAAACAAACAACAGCTCATAGGAACTAACATAATGACATTGAAGGTGGAGAACCCGGCCAAATTTATGCAAATTAAATGAGGCATTCCACGAAATTTTTCACAGTTGTTTATTTAGTATCAGATTGATAAGTACAATTTCTACATTTCTACATTTCTGTCTGTACCAGACGTTTTTGGCGTTGGTACATTGGACTTATTATCGTTAAGGTCACTGAAACGGATTGAAATTTTAGGTTTCAGAGAGAATTTTAATTTATTTTTAATAACGGAATCCCGACTACTTTTCCAATAGGGCATGTGTAGGAAAGCGCTAATAAAATATACATAATACACTGCAAAAACGGCTTGTTTGGTTGCTATGATGTCTTCAGGATTATCGTGCAAAATGATCATGCGATTATTGAAAAAATGTGGGTGTTCAATAAGTTCGAATACACTTTAAAAATGTGTTACAAAAATGAAAATACAAGATATTCTTTTCTGAGACAATCTTCCGGATCGAGCGGTTCATTTTTCGACAAACCCGCTCCCTCACCACCTTGATGGCTGCTGACGTCCTCGACGAACGCGGCCGCCCGAATCTCGCACTGTTTTTGGCCGAGTCCGTCTCCTGGTACCGGCAGATGGTGGTATAGATGAAATTCCGCTTCACCCCGTGGGATTTCAACCGCTGGAATGTGTCGGCGAGTCACTCAACTCTCGCAAACAACTTTACTACGACGTCGCGGTACTCCTTCATCGTGCGCGGTAAACAAACAACAAATGACAGCAAGTCGACACAGTGCGCGTCGGTTAGCCTATATCAACCCGGGGGCAACTTGACAAGTCCAGTACATTTCCAGTGTACACCGAAAATTTGGTGCTGGTGGTTCTGTCAAATTCACAAATTTCAGAAGTGTTATCTGAATAGGGCGAATGTGGAAATGACGTACAGTAAATAAAATGTATTTTTAAAGATAGTAATCTTATTGCATATACATAATCAGTTTATGAATCTTTTTTGTGTAGCCACGTTTATCTTTGAGCAGAACAAAATCAAACGCTTAAACATATGATTTATAAAACGTGTGATTGCCATCGAATGAATCGAAACAAATGAGAATTGAGCGTGGATACTTTTGATGTTTTCGACGCTATTGCTATTGTCGTCGATGATGAACAAAGAAATAATGGTTTTGCAGCGAGGAAGAGCGTACTAATTATATGCAGCTAGTACTGCAAAATATACAATTTGAGGTAATAGTTTAAAAGAGTACAACCAACCGGTGGAAACTAACGATTTAAAATTGACTAGCCTATGGGTCCCAAGTACATCAAGAGTAAGAGCATAGAGGTAACTCTAAGACCAGAAGGTCCCGAAGAAACGAGCTCAACTTTTTGGCTCAGCTCTGGTACTATCTTCGGTCCCTGGCTAATCGATTCACCCCTCGAAACATAAGATAATCCACTAACCCCTCATTTTATCTGTCAAACTTTCATAGCTAATCAAAACAAACATAGTGTAGTACTGGAATTTATACTAGAATGGGGTACTTAGTCGATTTGCTTGGGACCAATAGGCTAGTCAAGTAGTGAGCCAATTTAAAATCGTTAGTTTCGTATTGATTGTTGGTAAGAGTACCCCATTTTAGTCAAAATTCTAGTACTACACTATGCTAGTGAATGGAAATACGAAATGTTAGTGTTCACCCAGCAAACCGGTTACTCACCGCGAATAAGAATTAATTTTGTATTTTTTAACCCCGCAATAGAGGTATGGGGAAGTAAACTTTTTTTATTGGTACGGCTTTTTATTGCAAATCTGCATCGCACAACTATGCTCAGAAACATTATTCTCAAGGCTGATAATATGCAAGAGCAAAATATAATAGAAGTAACCAAAGTATATTTATTTCCATTTGATTATATAAGGAAGACCTCCATCAATCTGTTTCAATTTGCTTGGATTTATTTCATTTCACCATGAAAATCATGAATTCGCTCTTTTCATATGGCATTCTTGCTTTTTGTTTGACATCCACACATTAGGAAACAAATAGTTGGTTTCCCACAGAGAAATACCGTTGCAGCGGTGAAGGGCTGTCCCTTTATTTACGTTGTGTGACGACATCTACTATTTGCAAGTGGGTACGTGAAACTAAGGTTATCTGTCACCTTGTCGGGGACTTGGCCTATATATGAGGCTAAAGCTGACACTAATACCAATACACAGACGGCACATGGTGCGCATTTTCCCAACGATGAAAAGTTGTATTCGAACTTATTGAACACCCTGTACACTGTTAAAAAAATGTGTCTTAAATGAAAATTTTAAAAACGTGAGTTATCGAAAATTTATAACTTTTTTGTTTATGATTTTACCATTACTAAACTTTATCAGTTAGTAGCAAACATTATGCAGTTCACTACTACAAAAAATTCAATTTAAAAAAAAAAAATGAACTTTTATAGTTTTTTAACTAATCTTGTTTTCTCATCGGAATAAACAAAAATTATCACAGTGTATATATTTTTTACAGAATTTCCAAATTAATATCAACAACTTTGCTGAATACACCTTATCAATCAAGCAAACCGTTTCGACAATATTTATATTTTAACGCATTAGTAATGTTTTTACACCCTGTTGGAAAAGTAGTCGTGACCCAATATGAAGAATTGATAAAATAAAATGACATCTTTACTAAAAAAGAACTGTGAAAAATTTCAGCAATTTGAATGGAATTGCTCAAATATATTGCGTACACAAGCATTCAATACTACACTCAGGTATTTTTTTTACACGGAGATATGTACCGTAAAAGACCTACGAGATTTCTATTTTTCACATGCTTAAATGTTTTTTTAAAAAATCGGATTTTGATACCATTTGCATTCATTTTGACTAAAAAAATGTTTTAGGAAATTATGGAATAATAAGATATTATGATTGTAACTTGTATATGTAAGGAACAAGAAATGATTTTAAAGTTTGTGTTTGACACATAAAACCTGCAAATTTAGCTTTAACAGAGCCACAATGAACGATTTTCTGATCGCTTCTTCGCGAAGAGTGAAGAGCGAAGAGTGGTTGAGATAAATGACAAAATCGCTTATTGCAACTCTCATGCAGCAACATTGGCTGGTATTATGTGTCAAATACAAACTCCACAATCTTTTCTTGTTGCTTACACAAACAAAATATTATTATAATATCTTATTATTCCATAATTTCATAAAACATTACACCCTGTTTGTAATTATAGTATGCTATGGTCCATATAGACATATTTTAAAAATTTCTGTATTTTTTTTAAGTATGCCATTCGATTACCTATAGCTTGAAACGGATAATGTGACTGGAATCAAGTCGATAGGTTGTATCGTTGTCGAGAAATCGTTAAAAACGTACCGTGTAAACCGTGTAAAAAAGCGTGTAAAAAAAGACTTCAGTGTACTTGTAGTGTGGACTAGCTTACAATGATGAATCTGAAAGACGGTAGAGCAGTTCCGCACCAAAGACCGAATTAATCTGGTGCGACCTTCCCCGATTTGCATTTGAGCTACAATTCGGTCATCTTTTTTAATCTAGTTCGTTTATTCGGAAGGCTTCATCGCATTAGCTTTACGGAGCCGATAATTTTTGTCATTTTTGATCTCGCAAAAAACTACAAAATGGCGCTTTCGAAATGTTTCAACAAATCGTAACATGAAAACTCCATTTTCAATCTAAATGACATCTGAAATAAAGTTGTACGAAACCATAATTTATTTTCAGGAAAAACTATACACATTAAATCATTGAATAACAAAAAATTACCCTCTGCAATGTTTCTTAAATATATTTTTTTAAAGTCTACAAAAATGCTATCTTCTGTGAAAATTTTAACGTGCCCACTTAAACATTACCAAAATATCAAAACAAGTTTTAGTCAAGCTTTTGAACTTTTGACGTAGGACTACGTCTGTGATTTTCATATGGAGGTACACTTTGTGAAAACCAAAAATGGAACATGTAACAAAATTATGAAAGATTTTAAACGTTAATAACTCAGCTGCCCCTGAACCAATGTCAATAATTGTATCACCAATCGATCAGAAATATTTCGACGCGTCTGTTACATTTAGGACTTTATCATTTTTCAAAATGCCACTA